TTGTAGCTTAGTAAATTCACTTTGTAGAAGCAGTTGAGATAGTACAATGCAAGCTACGTGTAAAGAAATTGTGGTAGAATTATAAAAAGAGTTGGGTCAGTTATTACCTCATAGGTACAATACTATGTAGCATTTATCTTAAGCTTTTACTGACAATTGTGAGGTATACAATTTAGATTGTAATTACCTCAAAACTTGTTCTGTATCTGTTTACCTGTATATTATAGTACTTTATAGATGTTTACCTGTATAGTACATACTTTATAAATACCTACTTCAGTGACTTGGTAAAAACATGTAACTTCGTATCTTATAATTACTTTTGTATGTTATATTTACATCAGTACTTGTTTACTTTGGTATCTTATACTTATATTAGTACCTGTTTACTTTAGTGTCATATAAATACTTACCTTTCAGTAATTATTTACTTTGGTATCTTACACTTACTTTTCAGTACGTGTTTACTATAGTAAATATCACATACGTACACTTCATAGCTTGTTTACTTTAGTATCTTACACTTATTCTTTAGTACCTGTTGTTTACCTTGGTATCATACACTTTCTCCTTCAGTATGAGTCATTTACTGAAGAGCTACATAGTCCAAACATAAGAGCTTGTTTACTAATGGCATATTAATATTGTATGTTATCTTATAATTCCTTAACAATATGTTTAAGTTATCTCATGTTATCATCAGCTTTTGCTTACTTTATGTTAACCTTAGCTTGTGATTACCTCATGTTAAAATCAGCTTCTGCCAACATTATGATACCTAATCTTGCAATATCTCACTACCACATCACGATAAAAGTCTATGTACGTAGTAATGACACACGTTATGTTTATTTTTGTTACTCTAAGTCTATTTCAATTTGTTTTTCGCTTTATTTTGCACTTTTTCTCCTACAAATAACACTTGGATTAAAGTTTTCACAATATTTTACGTATCTCGGGCTCTGTAAGTGTGTCATAATGTTACAGTGATATGGCTACAGCACGATGTTTTTGAGACTACAGTAAAATTTGCTTATGAACGGTAAAAAATGGCAATAACAGGGTGCTTGCTATAGTAAAAGGTCTTATTGGATCGTTTTTAGGTATAAACGGACTTTACTATGTTATATATTGATGGTATGTTGCCTCTAACGAAAATTTTACAGTAGTATTACTTCATTACAAAATTTACTGTGGTATCTCCGTCTGTAAATGCTGGCGGGCTAGGTTATCACAAAGTTTACTGTAGCATCACTTCTCTACTGTGACATAGTTTTCTTTCAACTATTTAGAAATAGCCACTTTATGCCCTGATGACAAATATTTGTAAAAATAACTCATAAATAATACCTAACAGACGTCTGTTTTTAACTGTCAATTCACTTTGAAATTTAAAAAGAGAATTTGCAATATTCTCAAACGTCACACAACTGCGTCATAATAATTGAGCTACCGGGTTAATTTGACTCGCTTTTGTAAACATTATCCCGTGGCCGTTTGTTTGTTGGCTAAAGGTTAGATAGATGTTGGATTTTTACTATTATAATATATTATCCTCGTAAATTAAAGTTTAAAAAGAAGGTTTGATGGTTTGCTTCACTATTGTCAGGGTAAGGTATGCGGAGAAAGCGGGGGATTGGGTAGACTGAAGCAAGGGTAATATGGTAGGAAAGGTAAGATAGGGTAAAGATATAAACAGTATGGGTAGAGTAAAGAGGACGGTTTGACCAGACAATACGGTACCCTAAGGGTAAAGCTAGGACTCCGGGCTAGGTCTAAAGTTAAAGCTAGGGCAAGGACTACCGTCAAGGCTCTGGTCTAGTACTCTAGACTAAGGCTCTAGTCTAAAGCTCTGGATTAGGGCTTTGGAATAGGGCTTAGGCTAGGGCTTTGGGCCAAGGCTATGAGCTATGGCTCTTTGCTAGGGCGTTGGGCTAGGACTCTAGGCTAGGGCTCTGGGCTAATGCTATGAGCTAAGTCTCTGGGCTAGGGCAAAGGCTAAAGCTAGGGTTTTAGTCTGGAGCGCTAGGCCGGGGCTCAGGGCTAAAGCTTTGGGCTAGGACTAAAGCTTAAGCTAAGGCTCTGGGTTTGAGTTAGGCTAAAACTAGAGCTTATACCAGTTCAATTTTACCGTTGCCTACAAGATGACTTCATAATTCAATTTGACTTGTGTTCTTTCTATTTATATGCATCTTATTATGAATGACCGTTACGGTAGCTCGTCGTTTCCCATTTCAATTATTCTGACCTTTTTTATTAACGATGCATACCAGAATCCGATACAAAAAAAGGAATGGCAGTAGAAGAATTAAAAAAGGATGATACATAATTTTAAAAATGAGTCAAATTTAGAAAATTTTGGAAAAAGAGGGGGGGGTGGTTTAAAAATGATGGCATAGACAAGGCAGGACGAAAAATATGGTATGTGGGGAAGGAAAAGGGCTGTGGGGTGGGGTAGGGGTAGGGGTTAAAAAAATTTTTTTTTTAAATTTTGGGCGGGGTAAATCCCCCCCCTTTTTTTTCTCATCGCCCAATTTTGGACATAACACCAAAAGAATATCAAAAAGAATGTCAAAAATAGAAGGATGGTCGGTTCGTATCCTCTTAAATGATGCCATTTCGGTTCGAAACGAATTGGTGTAATTGACAGCCGGGTCGAGCTAATTTCGGGTGGGAGGGCTGAAAAGGACACGTTTGGTGGAGCGTGTGTTTATTTTGGGCGAGGGTCAAAGGGCGGATTCGAAATGGCAAACGAAGGCTTTGTTTACCGTATTTGTTGGGTGGGGGTGGGTAGACGTGGAAGGGGATTTGAGGGTAGTAGGCTTTGAAGTGGGTTTCAAAGGGGTGGATAGGCGTGGAACTGGGCCTTTTGGATCTTGGAGGAGAGGGGGGGGGAGGTGAGTACACAAATTATATAGCTTTTCAGCTTAACAGTTTTAAATGTTACTATAGCATGTGAATGACATAGCCTAACACTTGCAAGCCTCTGTTTACTATAATAGTATCACCTTCCTCACCTCCCCCCCCTTACCCAAGTACAATATCTTGGCAAAACCCCATATAAAAACAAGATTTTATACCCACTTTTCATGCCGTGCCATGCTCAAGTACAGTATGTATTTATTGTAGATTGTAAAAGCATGACCATGTACAAGATTTTGTTTATTTTACCTAGCCAGACAAAGATCGTCTGTCTTAATTTAGCTTGTTTACAATTCATTTTACTGCCGTTGTAAATTGAACAACGGCGGCGGATAACAATATAGTTGTTGGTCTAGTAGCTTATATTGTCATAGTACAAACAGTGTAGTAGTAAAAGTTGATCTTGATGGTATATTAAGTGGGGTTAGGGTAGGGTAAGGAAGGGTAAAAGAGGGTAGAGTAAGATAGGGTAAGTCCGGACAGAATAGGGTACAACAGGGCATGGTAGTGGAGTGCTAGGCATTGGCAGGCAAGGCTAGACATGGAAAGGGCAGGCCAGGGCACGGCAGTGCAGGGCAGGACAGGGCAGGGCAGGGCAAGACAAGACAAGACAAGCCAAGCGAAACCAAGCCAGCCTAAGGCAAGGTCTTACAGTACTTCCTCCTTTTTATTACTATGCGTATTAACCATGCATATCTACGTAAATGCTCAACTATAACATCTATAATAACATGCGTTAGTAGCTATATTAATATCATGTTAGAATTAATTCGATAAGTTAATCCCATCTTACTGTTGCTCAATACATGTTGATACTAGAGTAAATAACATCACGGTAGTCTTTGAGCGTGTTTATTTATAAATCTTGCAAAAAGTATTTTCATCGTATCTTGCACAAACATGCCTCTACTCTATATCTTGCTTTACACTGTTTTTTGGTTGTAAATGTTACTTTACAAAGTCTTTTTTGATATTACCGTGATGTGGAATCGTTCACTTATGTAATTTCTGTTGAGTTTACTGTAACATTTGGGATTATTGCGGTGTAAAAATTTTGTTTTACGTACTTACAATGACATTTGATTGTATTTGAGATAGATATCTCTCAGTTTGGGGTAGATACAGCTTTTGTTGGGGTAGATATCACTCTTTTTAGCGTAGATACAACTCTGTTTTGGGGTAGATATTGCTCTGGTTAGGGTAGATATCACTTTGTTTGAGGTACATTTTACTATATTTGGGGTAGATTCAGATTTTTTAGGGCGGATACTACTCTTTTTGTGCGTAGATACCATGATGATTTACATGTTTATGACATTTTTTGTAAAATACGATGTGTTTTTCTTTTTTTTTTACTTTCAAGGTACATATCATGACATTTTAATCACAATTTAACTTTACCATGCCATCTTGCTATCATAATATATATATATTTTGCATTAACAGCAGTAGAGCATGCCGTTTTTGACCTTGTGGCATTGAAAAAGTATCAAAAATTTACTTTACATCCTATTAAACTGCTTTTTTATACCTAAAACCTTGCTTTTGATCCCAAAACACAGACTTTTAATACCTAAAACTCCATTTTTTCAAAAAATTTTTTTACCTTACTGAACATACTACGACCCTCTTAACAAAGTCCACAATATTCATGGCCTTCAGAATCCGTAAAGTTTGTGTTCGTGATTGAAACCCGTTTTTTTCCGCGAATTTCTTCATCGGCCGAAGCCACGCCCCTTTTCTCGGTTTATTTTTCAATTTCCTTTCAGATATATCACACACAACATACGAGGGCACATCATACCACGCTCGTTGCGAAGGCATCAGAAGACATTCCGCTACGTATCTTTGGTTACTGAAGTTTGTTTAAAGTTACTGAGGTATTTTACTGTGAGATTTTTGGGATACGACTATATACTACAATATCTAGCCTGTATACGACTATTTACTATAGTTTTTTTCGGATATACCATTACTTACTATAGTATATATTCAAAATACGACTATCTATCACATTGTTATCGTAACATACGACCATATAATCAAGAAAAAACCATATTATATTGACTTACATCAACATGACGACAGCTACGATGCGTTCGGCTTCAGTAGCGGCCTCAAGGCCATCGCTAATGGAACTGGCACAGAATGCTGGCCTGCTACAGCTAAGTCCATCTGATTTGGTATTTGAAGCGAATCAACCAGGCTTTGCCTACTACGACTTTGTTATGTCACTATCCCACCTGCCCGACTGTCTCGGGGATGGATTCGAAGTTTATTTGGCTAAACTAGACCAACAAACCAATTTGGAATGGTTTGAAACTTTGAAGATCTCCAAAGGACAGCTCAAGGTTTGTTTTTGAAATTTTTTAAATGTTTTTTAGATTTTTTTTATTTTTTGCACGGTGCAGTCAAAAAATTTTTATTTTACAGTGTAAAAAGTACAGTAAGATTTAAGGTTAAATTTGTACGAAAAAAGTGCTTTTAGACTTTCTACAATGTCTAGCTGAATTTTTGACCTAACATTATGATAGGAAAGGGCTTAAAATTAAAATTTTAAACTAAATTTTGCACGGTGCAGTCTTTTTACTTTTCACGATGCAGGACAAGAAAGGTAAATAGTATAAGGTTAAATTTTTATGATAATATTATTTTGAGACCTTTTGCAATATCTAAAATCTTTTTTGAGCCTTATTTGTTTAGGCATTGGTTTTAAAATTCAAAAACTTTTTTAATTTTTGCACCGTGCAAAATTTTAATTTTTTGCACGGTGCACAGCCGAAAATCAAAAAACTTTATAAAAACCGGGCCAATAAACACTTTTTGCAGCAAAAACCCTACTCTTTGACCTAAACCCCCCCTAGTTCAAACTACTGTTGACCCATTTAGAATTATGAAGTCAATAGCTGCTATATTATTCATGGCATTCAGGTTCAGGTGGGAGTCTATTTCGAATGCATTCTTGAGATTTGATGCCCGAATGGTTTAATATTGTGTGTGAATGTGTAATTACTGAAGTCCTACAGTTTTATTTTTTTACAAAAATATTTTTTGATTAACGTTCTAGAACGTTTGGTAACGTTCTGAAGGGTAAAAATCGTAAAAACTTGAGGGTTTCTGTTTTTGAAAACTGGTGATTTGGTAATGTTAAGGTTAAGTGGTCAAAGTTTAGTCTAATAGAGTTATAATAGAGCGGATTAGACAGTTCTAGTAGGCATGTTATAGTAGGTACGTAGGATATTATTAAAGCTTTTGTAAGGGTTCAATCCGTAATAAGCCTGTATTTATATTTTTAGGTATAACGTAATCAAAAAGTTTAAAAAATCTTTGTTTCAAATTTCAAAAACTTTATTTTCGTATTTTGAAACCACTTTTTTAAAACTTGCACTGTGCAAAATAAAATTCTTTTTTTGCACCGTGCAAACGATTTTAAAATTTTTTCTATTTAGGTACTTTTAAATCAAAAAAGAAGTCCAAAAGTAATGTCACATATTGTATGAAGGCTAAGAATGGTATTGGCCATGACACTTTAGCTAAAATATTACCAAATTTTTTTAAACTTTGAAATTTAAATTTTATGACTGCACCGTGCAAAAACAATAATTTTTTCAAAAAATTTTAATTAAAAAAATTTTTTTTAAATTTTTTCAAATTTGAACTATTTTAAATTTAAAATTTTTTAAAATCTAATTTTTTTCTTTTCAGGAGCACAACCTCCCCTCAACCGAGCTAGCCATCATAACCTTGGGCGTCCTGACCTGGAGAGAAGAGCTACGTCAAGCCCGGCTCCTTTGCCTTGTCAGCCAACTCCATGGACCTTCAGACGAACAAACCCCAGCTCTCGAAGCACTGAAACGAGCTTGTGGCAAGTTCAAGTGTGTACATCACGTCATGGCTACGGGAGAACGACGCTCTTCGCTGGGATCGTTAGAATCCAAGAAGGAGCAACACTTCAAGGTTTCTGAATCTATGAAGCTGCGAGTGTTGATGTGTCAGACTCGAACTGAGCACACTCAACTACCTCAGCAGGCCATTCGAGAGGGAAAGTACTTGTTGACCGCTGGTGGGAATCCATTCTTGTGTCTCTGCTTTCCTCTCAGTTGACTAGATGATGGTGATTTCAGTGCCTCGAGAGCTCGAGGTGGTGATTCTTCTAGGCAACCGGGCCTTTTTAGGGCTCGGGCAGGGTAAATCAACCATAAAATTTTGGGTTTTTATGAAGTTGTTCAAATGATTATGTGCCCTCTAACCTTGAAAATTTGTTTTGAGAAGGGGCACATAATTATTTGAAAAATCATCTATAAAATATTGGTCTTATTATTACTGGTACCTTATGTTGGGTTGTTCAATTAATTTTGAGCCATTTCTCAAGACAAATTATTAGGAAAAGTGGCTCAGATTTATTTGAACGACCTAATACATCTTTATAAATGACTTTTATATTACTCTTTGTATCTAATATATGACTTTTACTTACAAATTTCCAGCAAAACTTCAAAAATTCAATCTAGTTTACCTATACCTATATTATGTTACCTAAAATAACCTTTTTAAATTTTAATCATCATTACCGAACGGGTACCCCCACATCTTGTCCAGATGTCACTGTCTTTCAATACAATTTTACATTCACAACGAAGTACTCAATATTGTGGTATACAAAGCTTGAATTAATATATGATAACGCATTTCCTTTGTTTCGTTTCACTGATAACAAGCATAATAAATAATAATATATCAAAGAGTGGTGGTATTGATTTGGAAAAGTGTAGACAATGAGATAGTAATATGATATTGTTATAGAAAGTAGGAAAAAGTGATGATAATGATATAGAAAAAGATGTGATATTATGATGAAAAAAGGAAATATTAGAGTAGAAATCATAAAAAGACACTATAATGCTACTGATAAAAGTGCATTTCTTACTAAAAAAATTAGTTTTTACTAAATATTAACCTTTTCAATGCTAAAGACGGTCTAAAAAACCATAAAAACGCGCTAAATAAACCTTTATGCCAACATGTACCTTAAAAATCTACTACAACATAACTTGGATGTAGTGCTACTCTCGAAGTTATAACTATTAGTAAAAAAGTACCAAACTTAAAATTCCGACTCTACCTCGTAGTCGGATCCGTGCTTCAGGAGCCTTCAGTACTAACACTCAGCGTTATTTTTTAGTGCCGGCTTCAGCTCTGGCTTCTTATTTTATAAAACCCGGCTCCGGCAAAAGTACAAGTCCAAAACTCAATAAAACATTTAAATATCTACAACAAAATCTATAGATAGATTAGTAGTCTATTGATCAAGCTAATTTAAGATAAAAAAACTTTTATTTTTGCTTTTTTGAATGTATGATACAAAAGAAAAGCCACAAAAGAGATTGTCTTATCTTCCTTTTTTAACAAAAAGTAAGATGATTTATGATGGAAACCTCTATTTCGCAATGTGCTTCGAACGTGACTTCATTATACATATTATAGTATCAAATGAATTTGAATTGCAAAGACGTAGAATAAAATGAAAACAATATTTTATGTCTTTATTGAAAATTGAACAGTCCTTCTATTAATGCGGAAATCAATATTCAATAAAAAAAATTAAAGAAAGAACTTGCAAAATACTACCCCCTTTTTTCCCTTTGAGGTGTTATCTCCTATCATATAAAGATAGTTTAGTCAATTTTGCGGAGGACGTTACTCTTGTATACGTATAATATAATGAACATACAAAAGCAAAAACAATGTTCTTTAGATTCTGTGATTAGAAAAAAGTTTGTGACTCAGAAACAATGATATCATTCAAAATTTAATAGCAACATCAAAAGAGACGTACAGAAGCAGAAAGTGCAAGTTTGGCTACAAAATTCATAAGTTTTTATACTTGTACTACCACACAAAAAACAAGTTTACTAAATCTACTGTATCATTGATAATTTTTTTTTAAATTTTGCTTAGAGCTCACGTCGTATTTTACAATTTTTAATATTGATAATTAACTGAATAATTGTTTATTTTTTAGCGTTTATTACTTTGTATTTTACCACAGTAAAATTTTTTTAAATTTTACAATAATGAACAAACGTCTTATAACAATTTATAAAATTCAAACTATAATATGTTGCAAAGCTTAATATAACCGTAATGAAACAGTGGGTACGAGTGCCAAGACCTGAGCCGAAGACTGGAGCTTCTCCTGATGAATTGGTACTCCATTGATCTAGCTATCCTAATAAAAAAAACTTTTATTCTTCCTTCTTAAATGTACAAAAAGCATGGATATTATATTTGTCATTTGAAACAAGTAGCTGTGAAGTCAATTCCAATTGAAATCGAAGTTCATGACGATGAAATCATCATCATTCTCTTCTTCCTGAATCGCAATTAATAATCCGACCATCCTTAACATTCTTGTCGCCAAAAGTAACGCAGTAGAGCTTTCTTAACTTGCGATCAGATTAAAAAACATTTTTTCTTTTTGAAGATACGACGATCTTTTCTTACTCTCTGTTGTAACCAGTAGGTATGCTTGCTCTCTGTCGTCCCAATTAGGTATGATGTATCTCTGCCGTACTAAGTAGGTATGATCTATCTCTACTCTTTATCTTATGAAACAAATTTGATCTCTTTCTGTTCTCGAAGCTATACTTCTTTCTCCACTCTGTCATATAGTATTGAATAATGATATCTTCTTATCCCTTATCGTATGTAAGGTTGAACCAAAAGTAGCGCGACACTTTTTAGTTGAAAATAAAAGAAAAGTGTCCCGCTACATTTGGTTCAATCTAATATTATAGTAACTGTAATCTCTTACCTCTCGATGCTATTAGGCCCCGACGTAAAGAACCTTTCATGTAACATACCTTTCATGTAATTTCCTGTAAAAAATGGCGGGTTCTTTATGTCGGCACCTAATATCTTCTTCCTGTACTCTGCTACACTACCTTCACTACTCTCTGACATACGACATACTAATCACCTGTTCCTACTCTCTCTACTCACCAACCTACAAACCAGACACACTCCTTCTCCCTTCTCCAAGACACGATTTAACTACTCTCGAAGCCGCGACGACAACTCCCGAAGCTACACTCGGATATTATCCAAGTGAAAGTAAATGGACGGATGACCCAGAAACCAGGCGCGCCCAATTAAAAAAAAGGTGGACTTTCGGTTAATGGCACCGAAAGTGAAAGGAAGAAAGCCTGGATCCGAAACCGGAAAAGAAAATTATTTGTCGTCGGCAGGTCGGGCATGAAAAAGTAAAAGGTTTCAATTTCACCCCCTCCAACTTTTACTTTTATCAATTCGGCTGATTTTAGATTAATTAATTTGAACTTTTATGCATCGATGGCTTCGGAATGGCAGCGATTTTGAGAGTTTTATTGTGTGGTTTATGGGTTGGTGGTTTGAATTTTTGATTTTTTGAAATTTAGAAAAGTGATGATTTAAATTTTTTTTGAAATCTTAAAAACGTAATCATTTTAGACTTTTCAAAACTTGAAAGATGCCTTGCTATTAGTTTCCAAGAAAAAAGCGCTAAAGTTGACAATGGTACCCTTTTTTAAATATTTTTGAGGACCCCCCCCTCAATATTTAGCAATAAAGTAAAGAAAGGTTTATTAGTTTTACGTGTCCTGCCCGGTATTTCTTTATTCTGTTTTGTAGAAGGTATAGGGCATCCTTTATCTTTTTACCCCATATTGCGACAAAAGGCAGGGCGTTTACTGAATTTAAAACTGTAATAAGATACAAATGCTTGCCCTGCTTTGTATGAAAGGTAGGACACACTTACACCTAACCTTTCTGATTGATAGGGCTTTCTTTTCTCTGCCCTACCCTGTTTTGTGACTACATTTCAAAACATGCCTTTTTACAACTGGCCCAAAAGGGTTGACCGTAATTTAACGCGCCCTTAGTTTACGTTTGAGCCTACCCTACCCTATGCTACAGTACCCTACTCAACCTTACCCTACTTCACCCTGTTCTGCCCTACTCTACCCTACCATACTTTGTCCTGCTCTGACCTACCCTGCTATACCTTGCTCTACTCACTCCAAAAACCCTCCCCAACATCCTGCCCTTACCTATACCCAGTGTTTTGCCGAACCGGTCCGGTCCGCGGACGGGACCGGCCCGGACGGACCGAAACAGAAATTTTTGCGGACCAGACCCAAAAACCTGCGGACCCGGACCGAAGAAAAAGCTCCGGACCGGCCCGGAAGAAATTTTTTTTTTATTTTAAAAAAACGGTTTTAAAAATTGCAAATAAAACATATTTTTAGGAGTTTCTAAGCAAAAAGAAAGCAGTTTTAGCGCTCCTTGCTTTTTTTAAAAATTAAAAAAAAATTTTTTGCGGACCCGACCGGACCCAAAAAATCGCCGGACCGGACCGGTGAAAAACGCTCCGGACCGGTCCGGGCAAAACACTGCCTATATCAAAATCCATAAATCAATTTTTTCAAAACAAGCAATCCATGCCATCTCTCAACTCTTCCACTTTTTGTTATATTAACATTACAAACGTTTGAAACAGCTTGCTCTCTCTCTACAGTAATGTCCACTAAAAGAGTAATTACCAGCCATTTTTCTTTATAATAAGAAACACAATTAACCACACTTGATTTTCACGTTGTCAAGTGTAAATGTTAGTCATTCTGTTGTCGAATTGTTGGAGATAGATTGTGAATTGTTTTTTTGAAGTTTTTAAATCTTTTTTTTTAATTTTTTTTAATTTTCAATTTCAAAAAATTTAAAATTTTTTTTTATATTTGATCTTCCTATCATACCCTGCCTTAGTTATACTACTTTACCTCAACCTACCCTACCCTATCCTACTCTACTCTTTGCTATACCTATACCATACCATACCCATGAAGCCTATTCAGCATAAATCACAATTTCAGTCGATTTTTCTTGTTATTGTTTTTGAATTGCGCAATATTGTAGGTTTACGTTAGTAAGATTGTCTTTTCGTAAACGGCGGCTAAATATAGATAAATCGTCGTACGACGGTATTAACGTCATTACCTTTTGTACGTCATTTTATAGGTAAAACAACACTTTGGAAATTTTATTTATTATTCTTGATTTATCAGTAGATATAGGGTTATTTTCGACCTAGTGGGCCATAGCATTTAGTTGTACTTCAAGCAACAGAAGACTTTTTAGTTTTATTTAGAATAAAAATACTATTTTCCATATTTTCTTATCAATATAAACGTTATTTTCAAAATTTTTTAGTTTTAAGGTTTACAAGAAAAGTACCCAGTCTGCCCCGCTCTGATTGACTTCAAACTTTTAATACATAAAGATCATGTAAATAATATAAGATCTTCAGCAACATGCTAAAACGCGGTTTCCAGGAAATCTTGATAAAATCTAGACCAAAAATTAAGTTTTGAATTTTCCCTCAAATTGGCATTGTGTTTCAAGCTTATAACTTTGTCGTTTTTTGACTTTTAATCATTTTTCTTTGACATATTAGTATAAAACCTTTATATAAACCTTGCTCGAAACATAATGCCAAATTTACCAAATATTGCGGGAAACTCAAATATTTAAATTTGCACACACTCAAAAGCGCGAGCTGATATTTTTCATGATTACTATTGGTGGTACAAAGAATTCATATAAAAATTTTGAGCTGATTCTGAGCGGGGCAGGTTGGATACTTTCCCTGTAAGCATAGTAAGTTTGATATAAGATAGGTGGTATAAATATTTTTTAACTTGATACATTCCTTGTAAGTTTTAAAAAGAAATTCAAATTCTCGTTTATCAAAAAAATTTTTTTTCTTACAAAACTCGCCTTTTACTGTAACTAACCAAAGGGATGATAAGATATTTTCGAAGCTGACCATCTTCCTCCATCTTAATGGCTTACGTCACGATTCATCATTAAAATTGGTTGTTAGACAACTTTTTGATTAACAAGTTTAGCTTTTGCTGTCGTATCGTATCAGAGACGAACGTTTGTCACCAAAAACAAATATGTTGTTGACTGATCAGCTATGGGTTTAAACTTTGCTAAATTTGTATTTATATTGTTGAGTGGGAGAGGGGGGAGGGAGTAAGGGAAAATAAATTTTTTGATTTTTCCTTGCCAAATAATACTACAATAGCATTAAAGTTTACTATGATACATGATACCCCCGTTCCCCGAGCCCTTAACATCTCCTTCTCCTCTCCCAACCACCCCCCCCTCCCAAATCACCCCGCCAAGCAATGATTAAAATAATACGCGGCGCCATTACTTAATTTACATCAATACACCCATACCCATGCCAATAATATCACCATTTTCAGTCATGGCGACTCTAACTTTATCAATACTGTCACTACTGGCATCCTCAACATACTCTGCCTTAATATCATCCCCATTCGACAACTTTAGAATAGAATGCCCTCAGGGTTCGGGAGCACAAAGACTCAGTATCAGAATGGTGGAATCACAAGGATCGAAAAGACAAGACGCTGTTTACTCTTTAAGCTGTAACAACATCAATCAGGTAAGGCTTTGTAGGTATACCTACTTTTAAGGGTAGGTGGGGTAACGCAGAGTAAGTTGGGGTAGGTTAAGACAGGTTACAATAGGGTAGGATAAAGTATGATAAAGTAGAATAAAGCTCGTTTAAAGCTAGGGTAAGTGAATGCTAAAAAAAATCAAAAAGTCAAGCAAAGCCTATTAATCTAGGTATACCTACTTCTTTTTGATGCCACATCAATACTGATTGACTAAAATCGTTAAAACTGCCAAATTATAAACAACATACTACGTTCTTCCTTTTTTAAATGTAAAAAAATATACGTTCCGAACTAAATTGTAGGTAATCTTGATTTAACTAAACCATACTCTATATTTTATACTAGAGTAGAACTATTTCTTTTTCAATTCCACAAAGATATTAACCAACCAAATTTGCTAAAACTTTACCAAATCATACCCAAAATACCACTAATCAATAAAACGATACTACTTTACCATACCCAATTCTAAAACTTTCAAAATTTTAAGTTATACCCATGGTCAGACATTCCTCAAACCCTCGAGAACCTGGAGCACGAAGACTGTCGCTATGGCCAACAATTCGATCCCATTGTCGACAAGAACATCAGCTTCACATGTGGCCCACGTGAATATTTGGCCAGTGTCGTCAGATTATTCGGAACCAAGTAGGTTTCACAAGCCTAACAAGCAAACATGAATAATATCCGATATTGGGCGAGCAAACAGGCGTAATATCTGATAATGTTCATGAATTATGGCTTGTTTGTGACTGAAATAGAATGTAAAACATATAATAGTTGCTTGATTTAATACTAAATTCAAAACTATAATAAGAACCCTATTTTAAGTATCCAACTTGGCTGTTGTAAGCTTCGAACTCGCGATGAAATGAACTGTAAAACTCATCGTTTCGGCAAACCATATGGTTCGGAAGTTAGAACTGAAATCGAGTAAGTTTATCATTTTTATCCTATCTTCTATACCTCAACCCATCACATAGTAACTTTACTTACATTAATTATGTTAAAAATGCTTGTTTAACAAAAAAAAATTTTATTTTAAAATTGTTCAAAATTTCCGAGCTATACAGCTGTAGCTACAGCCCAAAAATTTGCTTTGAGAGGGAGCTCAGAATTATTTGAACAACCTAATATTTCAAAGTTTTTCTTGATTATTTTGGTCTTTTTTAAATATTTGAAATTTTGTTGAGTATTTTAATTTTTTTAAATTCCAGGTTAAATGCCAAGTTGATCAACGCCTTATCAGTCGAAGGAAACACATATTTAGTCAGATTTTGCGATTTGACACCCAGAGCTTCAAGTAAGTGTTAATACTAGTTTTTTCAAATAATTCTGTGCCCTTTCAAAGCAAGTTTTGTTTGAGTTAAAGGCACATAATTAATTGAACAATCTAACAAAATATCTTTTTATGAACGTTATTTTTCAGCATGATACTATGTTATAATCTTTAAAATAGAAATTTTGAGGTTCTTCAATTTTTAAATTTACAAATTTACAGGTGACATCCTGGAAGAAGCTCGTTCAACAACTACAAGAAAGCCTACACCTGCAACTACTGCCACTGTGACTTCTACCACTCAAAGTACTACAGAAAAAGCTACAACTCAAAAAGGTAAACTTAAGAAATATGTTTTATATGACCTCTTTCTACTAAAATAATACCTAAATTGCAAAAACAATTGTTTCTTAAGCACTTACGGAACAAGTTGAGATCGAAAATCAACCAAAAAATTTTAAACTTTCACTTTACGTCACCCTCAACAAATAAGTAAATGCCATTTCCAGTTGACGAACAAAAGCAGCAAGTCCACAAACCAACTCCAGAAGAAAAGTCCGACCTTCCAGATGGTCAACCAATTGATATGCTGAAGACTTTGTTAATACCAAAAGAAAAACAACCTAAGGACGACTCAGTACTGGTCCACAATTCCAGACCATTAAGACCAATTCATGGTAGTCCAAATTTGGCACTTCATGATGGTGGAGATGAATCATCATCGACCACGGTGAAGCCAAAGAAAAATAAAGCCATGAAGGTGCCCGCTACAACAATGAGAGTGATTCTGGAATCTACTACCGAAGACATTACTACTGAGACTACAGAAGGGGCTATTGAAGCAGCAGAAAGAGCTACTGAAACAACAGAAGTTGCTACTGAATCGAAGTCTTCTACAGGAGCTAAAAAGTCAGAATCCACTACAGAAGTTTCTGAAACTAACACCCAGGTTACTGAAAAAACTTCAGAACTCAGCCACAGTACTACAGAAGCTACTGAAAATGATTCAGAAGCCGCCAAACAAACTACCCAATCTTCTGATGACAATACATCAGAATCAGAAGCTACACAGCCTTCTTCCGTGCCAAAAGAATCTAAAAACAGTCTTCCAAAGATGATGTTCAAAAAGGTTGATGAAAACGACAATGAAGAAGACGCTACAGAAGCCACGTCACAAATTCCACTCCATCGTGGACATTTTGAGCGACAACAAGTGACTCCAGAAGTTGTTACAGCTACAATGGGACGCACGGATGCTACTGAAGCTTCTACGCTAGTGGAATCTAGTTCTACTGAGAAAACAACGTCAGAATCGGAAGGTAAATCAAAAACCAAAGTTGAAACGGAATCTACTTCAACATCTGAAGCACAACAAGAAGTTACTTCAGAATCAGAAGCCACAGAGCAATCTTCACCTACTACAACATCGTCAGAATCCACAAAAACAGTAGAGAAATCACAAACAGAGCAAGAAACTGAATCGACTTCCGAGTCCACCACAGAATCCTCAAAACCAACCAAGAAAATCGCAATTCATGAGCACGATGCTCGTGATGAAATCCCAAAACCACAAGAATTCGCGGTGCAAGGAGTAAAGACCATTAACAAGATCAAGTCACCCAAAGCTTCTCTAGCAGATAACGATGAACTGACCGAAGATGAAAAGAAAGAAGCCGATTCTTTGATGAAATCGTTGATGGGCATCATGGATGCTGAGAAAGCGTTATCTGAAGGCAGAACCCCAAGTGAACATGAACAGAGAGAGGCTGAGAGATACTTGAGGTAGGTTGAGGCATGACGTTTAAGGATGAATAAGATAAGGCTAGATAAAGCATGAACAAGATAGGAATAGAATAGTTATGCCAAGAAGAATAATATAATGTTAGGGTAGGTATACCAGCTCTAACCAACAATTTTTAAGTTTTCTTGAAGAGTAAGCTAAAGCTGGAATAAGGCTGGCGATCGTCTTCAACCCCTAAAGACACAAAAAAAAACAAAAAATGTTGACTTACATTAACATTTTTAATGATGAAATTACTGTCTGTTGAATATTGTCTAAACCTGAAGAATTCAGGCTAGTCCAATCCCAAATTTGTTTAAATTTCTCTCATCTGGCACGTCCTTGTCTACTTTTTTGCTATTCAATAGATTTAGGTCGTTTTAGGACAAATTGGTTGCGTTTTCTTCAACTCCTGAAACATATTAATGTAGATCAACTAAAACACCAAATTCTGGCTCAAATTTTACCTAAATCTTACGTTAAAAGTTAGAATATAACCTACTTTACCTATAATAACGTTAATTAACCAAAACTGTCTCAGCCATTAGAGTCAGTTCTTTTCGCAAAGATGACTTACGTTTTGTGCTCCGAAATCAGCTGGATCGGTGCCTTTCAACGCCTCATAACGAGCCGAATCTTTTCAAAAACCCTGAGAAATATGTCTAAATAGTTAGAATAGTTAATAAGGAAGAATTATAAGCCAAAATAAATTCAAAACAACGTTAAATTAACAGTAAAACCAATCAATACCCGCGACATACCACAATATTGCGAAAAATATTTTATTTTTTTGCGCTGAAATATTGGCCGCGGCTTGCCATCGTTGTTTGCCATTTTTGAAATTTAAAATAGACACTTTTCTTGACTGGGATATGACTGGGGTAGGGGTAGAGTAAAGCATGATAAATAATAGTTCTGACTTTTTAGAGAACGTATGAACGAAATGGAACGAAAACATTTTGAACGGTTAGAACAACAACAACAAGAAGAAGAACAACAAGAAGCGTTTGAAAAGGAAGTAAAGCCAGATGTAGCTGAAAACAGAGACTTTGCAGAACAAGTTGAAATCGAAAACAAGGTAAATTTAACTTGAAATGTGGTTTAAAATAACTAAAAGACTAGATTGTTACCTAAAATTTTTGATTTTAAAGTTTTTTTTTTAATTTTTGAAGTTTAAAATTTTAAAAATTAAAAAATATTGTTTTAGAGAGTAGACGAATACACTCCGGAGGCACCATTTGATTTTGGAGCGTTCCCATCACCTCCACCCAATACTGAGCTCCAGACCAACATTCCTCAACTACCTCTTCGACCTCAACGTCCTAAATCATTGATGATTACCGAGCCAGTAGAAAGATCACATACCACATCATCATTTATCGAAAAAGAAGACAATCCACCATCATATACTGACGACAAACATAATAAACCATCCGAACATACACCATCGTATGTTGAAGAGGCTGGTCAAGAACAAGAATTCGTCGAAGACCTATCTACAACATTAAAAACCCGTCGTCCACGGCCGAAACCAACCACAGAATCGCCATATTTGGTGGCAGAAGACCCTGTATACTTGGAACAAGAAAGAATACGACAAGACCGTTACTACGGTAGAAGATTGCCATTGGAAAGAGGCAGACACAATGGGAAAGTGAGAGGCGGCAGACCGTCAAACTTGTATATTGATGAAGAAACCGAGACCTCTCCCTTTGATTTTGGTGACATTCAAGAACCAGCCCCCTTACCCTCAAGATATACCCCTGCCAGACATAGACATCGTCTTATTGTGGCTAGCCAAGAGGATGATCAGCCCAGCAGAAGGTTCAACTTGAATAGAGAAGAGGAATCTGTGGGACCGAGGACACCTTTCGACCCTGAAGTTCGTCGTTCACCCATTCCACGTGAGCTTTTTTACAATAATTAAGCATCTGTAAGAATACATGGCCATGTACATGGTTTTGGCAATTTAAGGCAATATATACCTCTATTTTTTTAATTTAAAAATATTTTACTTTTGATTTTTTTTTTAATTTAAATTTTTCTGAAAATTTTTTCATTTTTATTTCAAAAATTTGAAATTTGTGGGTTTTTAAGTGAAAAATAAGTTTTTTAGCAAAAAAAAGTAACTTATTGTACCAATTTATTCTTTTACTTTATGTAATAAACAAATTTTTAAATAAATTTTTGGATTTTCTTTTTTGAAAAAAATGAAAAAAAAACATTTCGCAACATGACTTGTAGGGTAACTTAAGGAAACCATCAGAGTTTATTTTGTTTTTTGATTAAAATTACAATTTTTTATGGCAAAAAAGCAAGTTTTTTTTAAGTTTTAAGCTTGCCTTTACTCCTAGCCTCGGTTTAACTCAATTTTTTTTCAAATAAGCAAAGCTGTGCCATTCTTTATTATACGGGCAAATTTTATACCTATCTTTTTAAGAAAGAAAGGTATGTTTTGAAGCTTAAAATTTGTTTTAGTACTATTCTGAGCCCGTCTTCGAAGCAAATGTTAGGGATTAGGTAGCGCAGAATTTTTTGAACAGATGTCTGTCCTTGTAAGATTACTTACAAGGGAATTCTATAACCTTATATATTGATTTTGTTTTTGAAATATACATCGTTTTAAAGAGCGTAAAAAGTTGTTCTTTAATCTGTTTTTAAAGTTAGCAAAACGCTTTTGGCTAGCGAGTTATGGCTTTATTTTGACTAAAAATAGCCGTTTTTAATTTAACGAATAGCTTTTTTAAGTCATTTTATGCTGATTTTGGGTTGATTTTGACCTGATTTTTAAATTTTATCAATAAGAAGGTACCTAATTTAAAAAACTTTAAAATTTTCATTTCAAAAATCCATTATTTGCCGCTTCCCGCTTCACTTTAATTAATCTGATACTAACGTTTTGCTGTTTTTAGGCATTGGCGCTGAACTAACGGGCTTTATGGAGCTGTCGGAGAAACCTTATTTGCATGCTGGTAGTACGAATCGTAGGAGACAGAGTAAAATACATGATAATGATTATGTAAAGCCATTGGCTTCGGTTGATGAGGTACAGAGGGCATCGGTTGGACATGTTCACGATGGTAATACCATGTACAGTCCGGATAATAACAAACCGTTGGAGATGTCAAGTAAGGTTTTGTTACCTACAATTCTGTTTTTTTGGCCATTTTCTTACCTAAAAATTGAATTTTTTTCACATTTTGTTACCTAAAATGCTATTTTTTGATTATTTTGTTACCTAAAATACTGTTTTTGGCTATTTTGTTACCTAAAATACTATTACATTTCAGAAATGCTAGAAGTAGTTGAACAACAAGACGATCAAGTAGAAGAAATTACAGTACCACCAAAGATCTTTAAGAAAAAGGTGAAAAAAGTGATTCGTCGACCAAGACCAGTACCATTGAGAGTGGTCGACAATGATTTTTTAGTACCAATGACACAAAACTCAGAAGATGGCGCTACTACAACCGTGGAGCAAAATGAATCCGTTAATTCAAAAATGACAGCTTCTGGGCACAAATCGTCTTCAGATGGCTATAAAGTGGTACCAGTGGAACCAGTAATACCAAAAAGATCATCAGTAAGCTCAGTAGAGGAGTTGGTAGCAAAACAACATGTAAATCAAGCTAATGGTACTACAGATGATACTCATATTCATGAAGAAGCTCCTCAAGATTCAGAAGATTTTGAAGAAATTAAGGCTACAGAAGATACTGTAGCCAACTTAAGGATTCTAAAGCACCCAAATCATGATGATAATGAAAAAAGGTTTGAAGATATTAACCAGCAAAGTAGCATCGACTCAAGTGTAAGCCAGATTGAGAAGGAACATGGTACTGATAGTACGTTGGGTAGTACTAAAGATAGTACGGAGAGTAGTACTGCAGCTAGTAAGGATAGTACGATAAGCGGTGCTCATGTTACGACGATGAGTACGAGTAGTACTGAAGTTGAAGTTACTACACCAGAAGAGCCAAGTACAACAACATTGTACGATCCGAAGTTCTTCTACCAAACTCCAAAGATCAAGAGACGGCAAGAGAAGGAGAGATGTAAGTTCTTACTGTAACTTTGTTGTAGCTCCTTACTTTACAATACCCTACTCTATTATACCCTGCTTTACCCTACCTTACTATACTCCACCTTGCTCTACCTTATAATTTCCCACTTTACCCTGCTTTGCCATACCCAAGTCTTATAAATACCCTTTCCCTTCTAAATCAAGCCAATATTTATGTCATAATGACCCATTTTCCAGACCTAACCTTCTGCTCAAAAGAAATGGCAATCCGAGACCAGGACGACATGCCAGTGGCTTGTGGCCTGGACAATGAAGTCTGGTATCCTCCACGATGCCCCGAGAACACGGAATGCTTCTACACTCACGATTCATTTTACAGAATCTGCTGTCCGGTTGGTCGACCATAAACCCCAAAAATACGTGTACATTTCTAATTTATACAACAGTTCAAAGCTGGTCTTTATTTATATTTTTAGAATAAATATTTATGACATTGTGTTTGATGCCGTATTTTACATTTTAAGATATTTAGTTAACAACTGGTGTTTTTCTTCTCAAAGCATCCGGTAATCGACCGGTCGTTAGCTAAGGGCGTGGCTAAAAACGAGTCATCTTTTGAACAATCCTTGAAGCAACTGATGAATACCTAAACAAAATGTCAAAATTTAATCTAATTTGAAAATTAGGCATGGTAAAAGTATTTTTAAAGGGTAGTGAGGGGGAGAAGAAACATAAAAATCATTTTTTGGATTGATTATAGCATTTCTTTTTTGATAAGAAGAGGTGAAAAGGCAAATTATGCTATTTTTGGCTTGGGCGAGGTAAAATTTTTAGAAAATTCGGTTGTGAGGAAGGGAGGGGGGGGGGATAAAAACTTTTTTTTTAATTGTAAAAAACCTAAATATTCTTCTGTAATCTAAATTATGCATGCAGAACTATTCAGTACAATAAAACTTTTTTTTCAGTGCTTTATAGCATTACTAAATGTCACTGTACGTCATAGTGGTCGAAAGCACAAATATTTTAAAAAATCTAAAATTTAGGTAAATTCACACCTTAAGGATGATAAGATCTTTCTATGTGTTTTATAGTTCAAGCTCTCAACTTATTATACTTTGTAACAGAATTTTGGCGCATTTTGTACTAACATTTCTAGGTCTAAACAAATCTGGAAAGCCAGTAGCACTTCCTAGTCATATACCAAAAGACGTTTTAAGCCACGTGAAGAACATAAAACAAGGCTCTGCTACAAGAACTTACTGTGCTGTTCATCCGGATGTTAGCAGAGTAAGTCTAATTAAAAAACTTTACCATGGTCTTGGTTTAGGTATCCGGGCACTACTTTGCTGATTGTTGGGACGATGAAGACACTTTGGCTAAAGACTTGGTCAATGACCGTCGATTGCAAGATGCTTTGTGGAATAAAAGTATCAGCATGATTAAAGACGCTGGATTTCAATTATAATTTTAAGAGTTCTTTTATAAGCATTTGTTTAAATATCGTACATAAAATAATCGCTTTACATGTTATAAGCATTTTTTTGAATACCATGATTTTAAAGAGTTGTTAAACTGATAACGAAATATAATATATTAGACAGGGCCGAGCGCTGGGGGGGAGACCCCAGAAACAATTTTTGAAAAAAGTTTAACGTGGTCTTTTTGGAAAAAATTTTTCGCAAAAAATCGGAACAGTAGCTATCTGTGCCAAACTTTTCGACCCCTGCCCCAGACCAACCCTTGGATATAGGGTGTTATAAGTACAGGTCTTCCTTGACCTAAAGTTATTTTTAAAGAAAATATAATGAAAATTATTGTTTCTTGTAGACTCTAAAACGATCCTATCAGACCCAGCCTCACATCAAGTCGGGCCGGAGAAAATTTGAAAAAAGCTGGGCCGGGTCGAACCCCGCGAGCACAAAGTCTGGGCCCATATGACAGCCCCAGGAGCTAAAGAGGGTAATATAACTTCTTGTAGACTTAAAAGCTGGCTTGCTAAACCCGGCCCTTCAACTTTCCTGTGTTTAAAAACACCAACTATTAGGTTGTCCGGAAAGTTTTGCAATATTTATTCACTTTTGAACTAACAATAATAACAATATAATTAACAACTACAATCAATCAAAGTAATTACCGTCTGAATCAATACAGTCTTGCAAACGATTTACAAGCTTTTTTATTCCACGATTGTAGAATTCCGGGTTTCTGGAGTTGATGAAGTTCTTGAAGGCATTCTTGGCATCGTCTGGAGTTTTGAAGATTCTTCCATTAAGAAACGAAGACAAGTGTTTAAAAAGGTGAAAGTCCGTCGGAGCCAAGTCTGGAGAATAAGGAGGGTGCTCCAAGACTTCGTATCCCAGTTCCCTGAATTTTGCCACGGTCTTCTTTGCAGCATGGGGCCGTGCGTTATCCTGCAGAATGATCGGACCCCTCCTTCTGACCATTGTTGGAAGATTGTGTCGCAGTTTGTCAATCTGGGCACAGTAGGTGTCGGCCGTAATACTTTGGCCAGGTTTCATGAAATCGTACTGGATCACTCCAGAGCTACACCGCCAGACAGTCACCATAAGCTTCTTTTCGTGCAATTCTGGTTTCGGAACGTGCTTAGGAGCTTCTCCACGCTTACACCAACTTGTAGATCTTCTAGTATTGTTAAACGAGATCCACTTCTCGTCAATAGTTACAATTCGATCCAAGAATTCTTCGTTTTTGCAGCGTTGCAGAAGCTTTTCGGAAGCACATCGTCTCTTGGCTTTTTGCAGATCAGTCAAATTGTGAGGCACCCATTTGTCCAACTTTTTGACCATACCCATTGCCTTCAAATGATCACCAATTGTACTTTTTCCACAGTTTAGTAACTCTTCTAACTCCCGGATTGTAATATGTGGGTCATCTTCAATCTTGCGCCTCAGGGCATCTTTGTCAAGTTTGCTGGGTCTTCCTGCACGTGGTTGTCTTCAAGCTTCTCATCGTCCACACGAAACTTTGCGAACCATCTGGTCACCGTAGAATAACTCACAACATTCTTACCCTCATTTTCGTTTATGATTCTGAAGGTTTCTGCCGCAGTATTTCCACGTTTGAATTCATTCCATATAATCACGCGCAGGCGAGATTTTTCCATTTTTTTCTAATACCTAAAACAATACAAAAATATGAAATTAAGTTATGTAACTTACCTTTTTGAATAATTTAGGTAACAAACAAACAAACAAAAAAAGAATTTTTTCTTTCCGTCAAGAAATAAATTTTTCCTGATTTTTCAAAGTTTATTGCAGAACTTTCCGGACAACCTAATATCTTGTTGTCTGAATTCTGCTTCTCCAGAATATAAAGCAAAACAACATAAACACAACGTTTTACCTACTTTTTCAACAAACTTTCGTCTAATTTTAAAAACATTTGCGCGATGAAGCGTTGTTTACAGCCACGAAACATAAACCAGAAAGTTAAAGGTCTCAACACACATGTTCATTCTGCCTTATAAGCTTCGGTTATTCATGGTGAAACAGCATTTATCTTGACTAGCTTATATTATATTGTAGTACACGTTTTGGGATTGTTTTTTAAACTTTATTTCAGTTTTAGAAGAGTTGTTGGGTTGTTATATACTAAATTATAAGATAAACAATAAGGAGTTAAATGTATTTTGAGATTGATTGTAAATTTATATTGTTTTAAACGTGTTGTGAGCTATAATCTACATTACTATAGACATGTATAACTATTTTTCGTTGATTAAAAGCCATTGTGAAGCCGTTTTTTTATATATTTTATCATTTTTATTATTTATGATCTATATTTTAGTACTTTCAAGTTGAAGTATACATAATATCAACCATGGGATGTAAGAAAGAAGTGTCAGCTGATGGAAGAACCCGTCTTTTCGGCTCAAGAACTTCAGTTGATGAAGTAGGTTTTCAGCATTATTTATAAGATTTGTTACCTAAAAAATTGAACACTATACCATCTAAAACAATTTACTACCTAAGTTTTTAAAAAATATTATTTTCGTTGCGGGACCAAAGCTAGGCCTTCGAATATAACTGAATTAATAAAACCCTAAATCTGATCCAAATTTTTAGGTATTAAAAGACAGAAACCTAGAAGAAAAAACCTTCCTCATCACCGGCACAACCAGTGGAATCGGCGTTGAAACCGCTCGTGCTCTAGCTCATCATGGTGCACATGTTGTGATGGCCAACAGAAATCAACAAGCAGCTGAGAGGATCAGAGATCAAATATATTCGGAGACAAACTACAGAAATATCGACCTAATCACCTTGGATTTACTATCATTACAATCAGTTAAAGCAGCGGCCGAAGAGTTCCTGAGCCACGACTGGCCGCTGCACGGTCTGATTCTGAATGCCGGAGTAGTGTCACCGCCGGTTAAAGCAAGCAAAGATGGCTACAATGCTACCTGGGCGACTAATCATTTAGCTCACTTCTACTTTGCCTTGCTTCTGAAGGACAGAGTAATCAAGTCAAAGCCTTCCAGAATCGTGATTCTGGCTTCTGATCTGCACAGATTCACATCGATCAACGCTAAAGATTCATTGGAAAAGAAAATAGAGCAATTGGTACCTACAGCTGATTCCAAAGACTTTGAAATGATGTTGTACAACCGGTCGAAACTGTGTAATGTACTCTTTGCTTTCAAATTACATAGAGAAATCAACCACCTGGGAGTGAATGTTATCGCAGCTCATCCTGGCTCTATGATTGATACTGGTGAGTATTGTTTGTCATATAATAGTTAATTATATAGTAATTTTGATAAATGAAAAATTTTTTGTTTTTGTCTTTTTAAAATTGAAGAAAATCAATTTTTAGTTCTGCACAGTGCAGTTTTTTTCAACTTTTAAAAACTGCACCGTGCAAACATTTTAAACCAAAATTTAAATTTTTGTATTCAAAATAATAATAAAATTTTTATTTTTAAAAACTTTTCAAATTTTTTTGACCTTAAAATCTGATGTACAATTTTTTAACGCCTGCACGGTGCAATGTTCAAAATTTAAAAATCTGCACGGTGCAAAATCCAAAATTTTTAAAATTTGAATTTTTACTGAAAATTGCATTTTTAGGTTTACAAAGAGGTGGTGGCATGTTTCTAACAGCTGTAAAGAAACTTATTACCAATCGGTTTACAAAAACAGTAAAGCAAGGCGCCGCCTGCAGCGTTTTTTGTGCTACTCATCCAGATCTGGAAAATGTAAGTTTTTGAAAATTTTTTATAAACAATGAACATAATTAAATGAAAATTAGTATAAAATACATAAAAAAAAATTTTTTATTACCTAAAATTCAAAAAACACCTCTTTAATGTCGAAAAACGTTAAAAATCGCCCAAAATTCGATAAAAAAATTTTTCCACAAACTTATTGACTACTAAAACTAAAATTTCAAGTTCGAAAATAAAATACATTCAATTTCAGGTCAGTGGCCGCTACTTTGAAAGCTGTTGGGACGATGAATCGTATCTAGCAGGCGATTTGGCCAATGATATTCAACTACAAAACGCCTTATGGGACAAGAGCATTGACATGATTAAAAAAGCTGGGCTTCCAGTTTAGATACCTCTTTTGAATATTTTGTACATTATTTTTATTTATTAACGTCTGTATAGTACTTTAAAGGTTTTTGTTCAAAAGTTTAGTTTTGGCATTGCACGGTGCAGGCTTTGATTTTTAGCACGGTGCAGATCAAGTGAAACTAAAAATCAATTTTTTAAATCCTTTATAATAGCATCGAACATTTTGATATTGTATTCTATTACCGTGCTGTACAATTACCTAAATTTTAATCAAACTATTTCATAAATTCAGTAAATCATATATTACACTAGATATCAGGTGCTCTAACCCTAACAAAGTCCAAAAAACAAACTTTAAACATGAACGTTCCAACAATAATACAAAATATAAAAGCCCAAAGTAATGTAGATCAATATAAATCGTAGGATACCATTACATAATTATCCAGCAGCCAACAACGCACATATCATGACCACTAGGTATATCAGCATGATTTGTGGAGGTTGACCGGTGGATGGTAATGTAAATGTTCTTCGTAGTAAAAATTAGCTGTAGAATGTGTAGAAGTACTAGTTAGCAAATATTGTAGAATAATAATTCAGTACTAGTTGCTGAATAAAATAGTAAAACAATAATTTTTTGGGTTCTTCCGACATCTGATGTTGATGTAGGTGAAAAAAGCTGAAGTGGACCAACTAAAACGAGATTGTTTAGACTAAAAGGATAGTTTAAAGATGAAAGAAATCATAATTGTTACCTTGTCATATAAAGATGCAAAATATTAAACAGAAAACTCCAAATTTCTCAAAAATTTTCGTTTAACTCAATATTATCTTAGGTTAACATGTGATATTTACGCGATTCGGATAAAATTGAGATTTATATAAATCAAAACCAATAAAGCGTTTATTATCCGACATTTTACTGCTAAAAATGATGTTCACCTAGGCCTAATCAACAAAAAACGGAGACAAAACCAGATTAAACGCCTAAAATACTAGATTAAACGAGTCAAATTGGTCAAAAATGAAGTTATAACTGCTATAAAACACTTTTGTTTTAAAATTTAAATCAAAATACATTATATGAACATAGACAAAGGAGAAAATCAACTGAAAACGTTGATGGCCTGACAAATTTACCAAAAAATGAAAATTCAAAGAAAAATAATATTCAAACCAAATTTTGCCGCCAAAAGTGATGAAATCAATCGACAATTTATACGATGAAATGTAAAATAATCTGGTTGATAAATAGTTTTTTATTATAGCCAGAGCTCCCAAATTTAAAATTTCTGGCTCCAACTCCGCCATTTTTTAATTTTTTTGCTCCGGCGCTAGCTCCGGCTCTAAGACCGGCTCAAGATGCAGCTCCAGTTCTTGCTGCCCTGAAGCCAGAGCCGACTCTGGAGCCGAAGCAAGCCCTGGAGCCCTCGGAAGCTCTGACTATGACAAAACAAGTTTAGTGTCATGCCAGTAGTAAAATAAATTTTGGTTTTCATAAACCCTATATTATAGTAATGACACACACTTTTGCTTATGTTGTGGTATGTTGTAAAGTACAATGGTAAGAATCATGCATAGCAAAGTACGATTGCGGAGTAATAAATGCACGTGAAGAGGTAAGAAAGACGGTAACGTGATGAATTTAGAATACAAAAGTTGGTGTTTTTTGAAATATTTTTTAAAATTTAAGTTAACAATCAAAATACAGTAAAACTTTTTTATAACAAGCAATTTTAGTAGAAGCTTCCAAGATATTTATTATAGGGAAGTTACACTGTAGTATAAGGTTGTTCAAATAATTCTGCGCCCCTAGCTCTAAAAATTTGTTTTAAGACGGGCACAGAATTATTGAACAACCGAATAGATAAAATTATATAAAATACCCTGACTGTAAAGTCTGTAAAACTAACTATAAACCTTCAAAATTTACTTTGCAGTAACACCTAAACAGAAAATTACTCTATAATTACGCCCTGTCCACATTAAAACTAACAGCTTTGCACTTAAGTTTGTAACACTAAACCCTCTTTGTTACCCTGGGCTTGTGGGAATATAAAGTACAATATGTATGTGAAAGACAGAGTAGATCAATTGAACTCGTAGTTAATTAGAAAATGCTACATTCTTGCACTTTACGTCTGGGTATAATGCTAGTTAGAAAAACGACAGCTTGTGCTAAAAGCGGCAAAAATACTGCTGTTTCAAATATACGTATTTAAAGAATTTTAAAATTTGTGATATATAAAAGTAAAACAAAGTAAAAATTAATAAAGTACCCTACCCTACCCTACCATACCCTATCTTATCCTACCATTTATTAGCCAAGCCAACATTTCCTGCTCGGCACTGTATACTATTGCAATATATAATACAATAGTACCTGTATAATATAGCTGTATAAAATAGTACACAGCGACAAGAATAGTACTACGTAGTAAAAAACATGTACAGGCAACACAGTACTACTGTTCTTTGTACTGTAAACCTATTCTTTTGAAGTTTAGAACAAGACCTACGTAAGATGAAAGAACATGAAAATATCTCGCTGCTTCCAAAAACTGCTTTCAAAATCTGTTAAAGAGTTTTGGCTAGCGCGATACAGTGGAACTCCTGTATAACAAACCCTCCTATAACAATATTTCTTTATAACAAACAATATTTGAATAGGCTATTCACGGTGCATTTAAAACTCCAGTATAACAATACTTGTTCATTACAAAAAAATTTATGAACCCCTAGGCAATCCGTTATACAGGGCTTCTACTGTAGTGTAGTTTTAAAATGTTATACAGAAGTTAAAATGTCTTTCTTCTTCACATCAGTATACACACTTTAAGAAAACCACAGGGGCGCCAAAAGTTCTGTTACAAGACTTTACCGGTCGTTTTCTCTATGAATTTCATAAAATTTAAAATTACGTTTTAACATTTCCATCCCCAATGTACATCTCCAAAACAAAACCTTTAAAAACTTTGGAAATCAGAGTTTTCAAACTCTGACACGCCTCGTCTTGCCCTCCTCCTCCTCCGGGCCCAAGGCCTAGTTTTTGAATGGAAACGGGAAAAAATCTCGCGAATTCCCTTTAGGGCAGACGAAGAAGGCCAACTGACCGGCACCACTTCCGATGTCTCGAGATTTTCTTCGCGGGGATTTAGAGGCCCATCCCCGTTTTTTAGGAAGAGAAAAGAGGGTCTCCCCCCCCTCTTTTCCATAAAAAGGGCTTCGGATACGAAGAGCTTCTTTTTTCCCGGAGGGCCAAAAGCCTTTCTCAAGTGCTCCTAAATTCCGTCTTTTGCCTTCGAAATGCTGGATGGAAAGGAGGAAAGTAATGGCCTTCCTTAGAGACGAGACATGACAAGTTGGATTGTAGAATGACAGAGTAGATTGTAGAAGGACAGAGTAGATTGTAAGATAGCAGGAGTAACATAAAAAGTTTGGTTTTAAGATCAAATAATCAGGTTTCACAATGAAAATTTGAATAAAAAGCTAACAAAATTAAAACAAAAAATTTTTTAAACAATATTACCTTTAAAAAATGTAAAAAATAGTTGTACAAATTTTTATAGTCAAAATAGCTATCATTTCCTCCATCTACCTACCCAAACAATCTTTTTCCCACCCCTTAAAAATAACATTATTTCTACCCCTCCATCTGCTTCTATCTCAGAAAAACTCCCGATTAACTATCCCTATTCAAATAAAGCCCATTCTTACCCCTGCCTTGTCCTCCTAAGCTAAATAAAGCTCAAATCTACTCCGCTCTATTCACAAAAAAGATTCTTTTTACCCTTCGTTAACAAAAATAAAATTCATTTCTACCCCTTTTTATCAAAAAATTAGGTTCATTTTTACCCCTGCCTATCTAAAAAAAAGTTTATTTTTACCCCTGCCTATCTAATATGAATAAATTTCCACCCTCGCATGTCATTTCAAAAAAAACTCAGTGCTTCTTCTCTCTCTTCCATTCCACCCCATAAAACCCTCAACTACCCCTTCATATCCAGATAAACCTCATTTCTACCCCTTAGCTTTTCATAAACTCTTAAAAATCTATCTTCACCTCCCCCCTCCTCCATCCCAATAAAGCCCCAGAAGTGTTCCGAAGTGCTGTGGCAAAACGCTGTGCCAAAAGCATTTTGTCTCCCGTTCCGGCCCTGCTCCCCTATCCGGCATTTGTTTTGCAAAGGCTTAAGAAAATGGAGAAAAAGGGTGGCCAAGGGGGGGGGGGGACGAGAAGAGGGAAGGGGGGTGGTTAGGGCAGCCGACAGAGTATGGGGAGTCACAACAAAATGTCCTAAAAAGGAATGAAGTTAACTTAAAAAAACGGTGTCAAATTTTATTTCGCTGTCTCGAATTTTACTCAAAACTGAAACGTCATTAGAGAATGGGGGGTTTCGAAATTCGAAACATTGCCTTTAATCATGCCAAAGTGAGGTGGGCTAATTGATATGGTTTATATGTACTTATGTACTTTAAGGTTCACATTGGCTTTTTATTTGAAAAAGTTGGTCAAAAAACGAAATTTAGGTAACAAAATATGCTAAAAAACCAAAAATTTAAAAAAAGTTTTTAAAAATGTTTTAGTTAATTTAGGGTAGGGTAGAGAATGGGGAGCCTATGGTAGAGTATAGTAGAATAGGGTACGATAGTTTAGGATAATGTAATGTAGGGTAAAGTAGAATAGGGTAAGGTAACATAGGACAAAGTAACAGAGGGTAGCGTCAGAGCCAGGCGGGGACTTTTGGTCTGAGGGCGGAGGTCGAAAAAATCCACAGGAAGAACCACGTTCAACTTTTTTCGAAAATTTTTTTCTGGGGGGAGTTCCAAAATAAAGGTTAACTTTCTACCCTTAATAAGCTTAAAATTAAATAATAATTGTTGTCAACTTTGCCAACTTAATTAATTAATCGCTACTTTCTTTTCCCCTTATAAAGAGTGCACTACGCGAATTAATTGGCAGTGTTATGCCAAACAACACGAAAAATTAAAATTTTTAGCTTATTCCAGGAAAAGTTAGGCAGAGTAACATATGTA